GCTACTAAGATTGGAGTGCCATTGTGTGGGGCACCACGTTGTGAAGGCCAAGATTTTAACAGGGTTCAAAAAGAACTAAATAAATTCACAGGTAATTGGTTCATCAGCGGCCGTAAGCCAGTATGAACAGGAATGGTTTCCCTGGCTTGTGTTGTCAGGGCTGGGAATGGGTCACAGCCGATGAGTCACTTGATGATTGTCTATTGTGGTCATACCTCCTGGGGCACTGCTATTGGCCACTATCATTAGACAGGCTACTGGGGCCAAATGGGCCTTTGCTCTGACCTAGCATTCTTATGTTCATTCTTAACACTCATTATCACATTCACATTGGAGATTTGATTCTCATTCTCAGCATTCATGCTATTTTCACATGCATGGTGGATTCCTAAGAAAAACTAACACTGAATACACCAGAGATCCACTTTTACAGCACTTTTTAGACCATAGGCACTGCCAGAATCAGCACATTCATAGTAAAAGTATAATCACATTTTTGCCTTACAAAAAGCTTTCATGCTTTACTGTGAGTGTTGTTTATACTACAGAAATCAGACTACGCAACAAAGTCTATGGGGGTATGTCTACACTAGCTCCCTAGTTCGAATTAGGGAGGCTAATGTAGGCATTCAAACTTGCAAATGAAGCCCAGAATTTAAATATCTCGGGCTTTATTTGCATGTTCCCGTCCAGTCGCCATTTTTAAATGCCACTAGTCTGGACTAACTGCCCGTGGCTACACGTGGCAGTTAAACGGTAATTCGAACTATGAGGTGAGCTCGAATTACCTGTTACTCCTCTTGGAATGAGGTGGCGACTGGACGGGATATTTAAATCCCGGGCTTCATTTGCAAGTTCGAATGCCTACATTAGCCTCCCTAGTTCGCACTAAGGGGCTAGTGTAGACATACCCTGGGAGACTTGAGCTAGCAACCTCTGGCCAAAAGGACACAGAGAAATGGGCAGGTGAATTTTCATATGGAGGAATCATTGAGCAGCTGCATACACTGGATTTATAGCTGTGTCCACAGTCTACATAGGAGAAAGAATCCAAATTTGAGGTCTTTTCTTAACACAAGGGGACATACCCTCAGCTGATTAAGAGAGCTTGATATTGTGGAATGTGAGTGACTGCACAAGATAAGTGAGTCAGTTAGTCCCAATGTAAAGTGGAAAATGCAGTAGACAGTTTTCACTAACAGGAGCTAACTGTGAAGTAATAATTGGTTCATTCGAGTGTTACTAGAAGAAGTATTAGTGTAATTGGCAAGAGTATTTAAAACTTTCCTTGATTGTCACATATTGTGGGAGAAACAATAAGCAGCAGAGTTTTGTGCAGCAACACATCAGCATGGAATGAACCTCAAGATATAGGAATCTCTGAAAGTTTCAAAATATTTGGATTTTTATCTGAATTCATCTAACATTTGAGCTCTTTCTCTTTTCAAACAGCCTTTCTAAAATAGCTTTTCTTGTGAAAAACTGCTCCTTTTTCCATAAACACACACACTTGCCCAAACCCATCCTATCTTCATTAGATAACTGCACCCTGGAAACTGTTCTATCCAATTCCTTGATCCTCCCCCAATCTCCCATCTTTAAAGAAGAACTTGCTGCCTAAATATTTAATCTCTGATTCCTGTTAATGCCTTGTGTTCCAAATCCTCTGGCCAACTGGTTCATTGCGCTTTCTCAGAAGCTCACTGTGATGCCTGCAGCAAGTAGGACCAGAAGACATTACAGCCTGATAAATCTAACTGTAGTGCTAGGCAAATGAATTGAAACTGTAGTAAAGAACAAAATTATCAGACACAGTTCATTGTGGAAGTGCCAACATGGCTTTTCTAAAGGAATATCATACATACTAATGTAACAGGATTTTTTGAGGGTTAAACAAACACGTGAACAAGGGCAATTAAGTGGATATAGTGTACTTAGATATTCAAAAAGCCTTTGAGAAGGTCCCTCACCAAACCCTCTGAAGCAACAGTAAGCAGCCACGGGATAAGGGCAAGTTCCTCTCCTGGAACAGTAAGTGGTCAGAAAACAGGAGACAAAAGCCAGGAATAAATGGTCAGGTTTCAGAATGGACAGAGGTAAAAAGCAATGTCTTCCAAGAATCTCTACTGGGACTAGCATGGTTCAATATATCCAGGAAAAAGGGATAAAGAGTGAAGAGGCAAAATTTGTAAATGATCCAGAATGATACAAATGATACAGAATTATTCAAAATGGTTAAATCCAAAGCAGATTGTGACACATTCCAGGAAGTCTTTGGAGAAAGTTGAGGACATGAAAGAAGCAACCAGTGGCCATGTGCAGCTTGACCTGCTGCTCCCAAACAGGGAGGAACTAGTAGGGGCAGTCGATGTGGGTGGAAACCTGGGAATCAGTGACTGTGAGATGGTCAAGTTCAGGATCCTGCCCAAAGGAAGAAAGAAGAGCAGCAAAATACACACCTTGGACTTCAGAAAACAGACTTTGACTCACTAAGAGAACTGATGGGCCGGATCCCCTGGCGGGGCTAACATAAACGGGAAAGGAACCCAGTAGAGCTGTGGCTTCCCACACCTTTAAAGAAGCCTTATTGAAGGCACAGGAACAATCCATCCCAATGCACAGTAAGAAAAGCAAATATGGTAGGTGACCAGATTGGCTTACCAGGGAAATCCTTGGTGAGCTTAAACACAAAAAGGAAGCTTACAAGAAGTGGAAACTGGGACAGATGACTAGGGAGGAGTATAAATATATTGCCCAAGAATGCAGGGGTGTAATCATAGAATCATAGAATCCTAGGATTAGAAGAGACCTCAGGAGGTCATCAAGTCCAGTCCCCTGCCCATAGCAGCACCAATCCAAATTAAATCATCCCAGCCAGGATTTAAAAACCTCCAGGGATGGAGATTCCACCCCCACCCTAGGTAAAACCATTCCAGTGCTTCACCACCCTCCTGGTGAAATAATTTTTCCTAATATCCAACCTAGACCTCCCCAACTGTAGCCTGTAATCAAGAAGACCAAAGCACAATTGGAATTGCAGCTAGGAAGGGTTGGGAAGGGTAACAAGAACAGTTTTTACAGGCATATTAGCAATAAGAGAATGGTCAGGGAAGGTGTGAGACCCTTACTGGATGAGGGAGGTAACCTAGTGACAGATGATGAGGGAAAAGCTGAAGTACTCATAGACAAGGTTAGCTCCCAGACTACTGAACTAGGCAACACAGTATAGGAAGGAGATGGGCAGCCATCGGAGGAGAAAAAATAGGTAAAAATAATATAGAAAAGCTAGACATACACAAATCCATGGGGCTGGATCTAATACATCCAAGTGTGCTGAGGAAGTTGGCTGATGTGATTTCAGAGCCATTGGCCATTCTCTTTGAAAACTTGTGGTGATTGGGGGAGGTCTCAGATGACTGGAAAAAAGGCAAATGTAGTGCCCTTCTTTAAAACGGGAAGAAGGAGAATCTAGGGAACTACACACTGGTCAGCCTCACCTCAGTCCCTGGAAAATCATGGAGGGGATCGTCAAGGAACCCATTTTGAAGCACTTGGAAGAGAAGAAAGTGATAAGGAATAATTAACATGGATTCACCAAGGGCCAGTCATGCCTGACCAACCAGATTGCCTTCTGTGACAGAGTAACTGGATCTGTGGCTATTGGGAAGGTGGTGGACATGATTTATTTTGACTTTAGTGAGGCTTTTGATAAGGTCTCCCACAGTATTTTTGCCAGAAAGTTAAGGAAGGATGGGTTGGATAAATGGACTGTAAGGTGGATAGAAAGCTGGCCCAATGGGTAATGATAAATGGCTCAATGTCTGGTTGGCTGTCAGTATCAAGCGGAATACCCCAGGGATCGGTTCTGGGGCTGGTTTTATCTGGCATCTTTATTAATGACCTGGATGAGGGGATGGATTGCACCCTTGGAAAGTTTGCAGATGACGCTAAGCTAAGGGGAGAGGTAGATACATTGCAGGGTAGGGATAGAGTCCAGAGTGACAAAGACATTGGAGGATTGGCCAAAAGAAATCTGATGAGGTTCAACAAGGAGAAGTGCAGAGTCCTACGCTTGGGATAGAAGAATCCCAGACACCGTTACAGACTGGGGACTGACTAGCCAAACACCGTTACAGACTGGGGACTGACTAGCTGGGCAGGAGTTTGGCAGAAGAAGACCTGGGGATTACAGTGGATGAGAAGCTGTATATGAGTCAACAATGTTCCCTTGTAGCCAAGAAAGCTAATGGCATATTAGGGTGCATTAGGAAGAGCATTGTCAGCACAGCTAGGGAAGTGATTAGTCCCCTTATTCAGCACTGGTGAAGCCATATGTGGAGTACTGCATCTGATTCTGGTGCCTCCCTCATTATAGAAAGGATGTGGATGCATTGGAGGAAGTCCAGCAGAGGGCAACGAAAATGATTAGGAGTCTGGAGCACATGACTTATGAGGAGAGGTTCATGGGTTTGGGCTTATTCAATCTACAGGTAAGTGAGCAGGGATTTGATAGCTGTCCATCAATAAACAGGAGACTCGGGAGTGCACGGAGTAAACGGACCTCTTTATTGTAGATACTCATTCTCCTCAGACTCGCAACACAACATTCCAAGTGAGCGATGATTTGGCACCAGTTACACTCCTTTATCCATTTTAGTATGTTACTTCACACGTCTATCACTACTTCCCCATAATCCTCATTTAGTAATGTTAACTCCTATACAATGAATATTAATAGGTGAGTGTTAAATATTATTATACCCACCCCTGTTTATGGGGTTCTCAGTTAGATCAGCACTTTTGCACATTATATACTTGCTCCTGTTTATGCGGTTTTCAGTTAGATCAGCACTTTTGCACATTATATACTTTCCAATTCAGCAGGTTTCAGAGATGACAAAGGATTGGATCCTGAAATATTTTTACAGAGCAAGTGAGAATGAGCAAGAGACAAAACAAAGAAGACACTGTGCAGTGTAACTGTATACATGCCTGTACTATTCTATCTTTCTAGGCTACAAGAACAAAGGGCAAAAGCATGTTTATACATCAGAAAGGACAATACCCACCGTCGCCAGACCCTTTATGTATCTTTCCAGGCTGCAAGGATGAAGGGGAAAATATGTTCAAAGGACAATGCCTGCTCTGGCCAGACTCCTACCACGATTGTATTGCCTTCCCGGACTCCTATTAATTTTTACATATCCCAACAATCATGTTTTTTTAATGAAATGGATACTAAGCTATTTAACTTACAACTTATCAGGATGCATAATGCTGCTTTTGTGTCTTAATGATACCGTCTAACACCATATAATACATGTACTAAGATTAAAAAGCATTTAAATATATTATAGCTGTTTCTAGCAAAGACTGTTTTAGTTAAAGCGTTGAATAAAGTTTCCATTATAACCTCATTTTACATCATCATATCTTTTTGAAACATAGGCTTTCTTGGCTGAAATATGCTAAAAGAAAATATTTTTTTCTCTTCTGGTTCTCATGCTGATTTTTCAGAGTTTGGGGAGAATGGAAAAAGCAACAACAAAAATCCTGCATACATTTCTCATACTCACCACTTGATTTTAAAGAGGCTGCTGCAACAACAGCTGAGGTTTGAAACATGACATGGGTAAGCTTTGTTTTGTTTGAAAGGGATTGATTTTGATTTGAGGTATGGCCATATGAAGTTATATACTGTGCAACCACCACAGAAAATGCCCTTACCCTGACACATGTGACCATAAACGTGGATGTGCTTGCTTTCTATGTGTGTAAAGTTAGACAAGGGCTCAAAGCTAGAGAAGGGTTGCTGTTGAACACCAGCTTTCAAATAGCAGTAGCCTGCTCTATCCCTATTAGCACACCCAGATCCAAGGTTCAGGGTAGATTGTATAGAGCAGTTGTTCTGTGTGTCTTACTCAGCCTTAGGGCCAGCCAAGATGTGGTCTGCTATTACATAAGAATATAGCACTGCCAATTCCTGACAGGAAATAACTTTTAATTAAACCTAATGAAATCCATACTTGAGCAGCTTAATTAGCATATTGATGTTACACCTAGATTCTGACTTCCGGAAAGAATGGTTGGCAGAGTTGAAATTTTCTCTTTTTAAGTCAACTTTGTCTGTTTCAACCTTGATGTAGATATACATTAAATAATAACTCCTTTCTTGGAACACAGGCAGCTCTAATTGTCCGTCATTTGTAAAATTATGGCACAAAGGGTAGTAATGGTTTGGAAAGCAGATGTAATTATGGGCACTTTACTATTATTACACACTTTTAACACAAGGTCAAGGCCTTGATGTGCTATGTGCTGTACAACCATATATTAAATGACAGTCCCTGCCCCCTTATATTTAAACCTGTTATAAGTCAATCTGTCTAAGGCACTTATCCGACTCCATGGGAGCCAACAGGCTTTTCGCTCCCAGAAGGGATAGGGCCTCAGATGGAAGGAGCAGGCCTGGGGGGCAGCCAGCCCTCAGCACTGCCCAGAATATGCCACTGTGTGGCTCCTGCTCTCAGGCAACATGCAGAGTCCAGCAGTCACGATGGGGGCCAAGAGCCCATGCCCTCTTTGAAACACCAGGTCCCAAAGCAGTTGCCCCCGCCCATCAGTGGGCCTGTATGAGGCTCATATGAGTACTTTAGGTAGACCCCAACCATTTCATATGTTCATGTTTCTAAGACAGCACAGCTTGTGAGGTAGGGAAATAGCACCTTTCCCCTTTTGCAGATCAGGAACCGAGTCACAAGGAGGCTAAGTAACTTGTCTAAAGACAAAGCATAAGTCTATGGCAGAGCAGGAAATTGAGTCCCTGACTAATGCCTTGACCCCTGGACCATGTTTCCTCTCTATACTTTGTTACATCTTAATTCTTACTACAATCCCTTTCTTACAGTTGCTTGGAAATTTCCTATATGTCACTTTTGGGGCTGGAGAGTCAAGGTAGGTGAGGCAATATATTTTATTGGACCAAATACTGTTAGGTTGGGTGACCCTCTTTTCCTATGAGGGAAGGGGACTGGACTCGATGACCTCTCAAGGTCACTTCCAGCCCTAGTATTCTATGATTCTATGCTGAATATGGGACACCTGCTAAAGGTACTCATGTTCAGGTAAGTTCAATGGCAATCCAATCAGAACTATGTGGTACAAAAGTTTAAATTACCATCAAGTTGAGTCAGCCCCTGCTAAAAAGAAATACTGCAGCGTTGGATTCTGATTTACCTTTTTAACTTTAAGACTTCAGGGTTCACACCAGGAAGGTTGACACATACACTCCCATACACGTCTGTCACTTAGGGGGGGGGGTGACTGACCAACCATCCTGAACCTCCCTGCCTGGGTCCCTGGGATGGACCCACTTCTCCTGATACCTGGTGCCACATTTCCTGAGGCAACACATGTGTGGGCAGACAGGGTCGCTTTCCCTTCAGATTTCTGCCAGGGTACAGACCACACAGAGCCAGCAGCAGCCTTTGGCACTGCAAGGAGGAAAGGGATGGGTGCTGCTCCCAAGATCAGTGGAGGAGGAGGAGGAGAAGGGATGACCTGCCCCATATCTTTCATTCTCTGCACAGGGCTGAGAGCAGGAAGAGTCACTTTGGTGGGGATATGGAGCAGCAGCAGATTTGGGGAGGGGTGAAGGGCTAAAGCAGGAAAAGGACAGTGAGAGGGGGAGCACGTAAAGGGCTACTGTGTGGGCACCAGAGGTAACATTTCACTGGCTACTGCCTGGTGTCTGCTTGCACTCAGAAAATGGGATGTGCTGCATTTTTGCTTATCCATCCCCATCATTGGCTATTGGACCCCCTACTGCAATTCATTGCTGATGGGTGGGCAGCTGGGGACTAGAAATCTGGCCAGCAACAGGGCCTTCCAGTACTGATGGGGTGTGGGGAGAGTTAGAAATATGGGACAATTTCCCATTTTTAAGAAGAAGTCATGACACCAGCAAAATGGGATGTGCTGCATTTTTGCTTATCCATCCCCATCATTGGCTATTGGACCCCCTACTGCAATTCATTGCTGATGGGTGGGCAGCTGGGGACTAGAAATCTGGCCAGCAACAGGGCCTTCCAGTACTGATGGGGTGTGGGGAGAGTTAGAAATATGGGACAATTTCCCATTTTTAAGAAGAAGTCATGACACCAGCAAATGGGAAACCTTGCTATTGATGAGAGTCACAAGCTTCTGAGTGACACAGAGCTCCAAAAACCTTGTGTCTCACCAATAGAAGTTGGTCCAATAAAATATATTACCTCATCCCCCCATCTCTCTAATATCCTAGAAACAACGTGGCTAGAGTTACAGATATGTGTGATATGACCTCTCTGGTCCAGCAATATCCACGGTTCTGTAGGACCACAGATGTTGCCAGCAACTGGGAACAGGGGCTGTCCTAGAGACCAGCAGGGGCCATGGAGTATGGCTGGGGCTAGAAGAGAGTGGGTGTGTGGCCAGGGCTGGTGACAATGAAGGTACTCAGAGCTGGCACTAAACATTAAAAAGGCCGTAGAGCAGTTTTTAAACTAAGGGCTGTCCTAGAGACCAGCAGGGGCCATGGAGTATGGCTGGGGCTAGAAGAGAGTGGGTGTGTGGCCAGGGCTGGTGACAATGAAGGTACTCAGAGCTGGCACTAAACATTAAAAAGGCCGTAGAGCAGTTTTTAAACTAAGAGATGGGGGAAAGTCGATTGGTGTGGAGATGCACGTAAATCGGAGGGAGACTTCTCTTAGAGGAGAATCCATTGACAGAGATTCTCTAAGCTGTAGTCAGAAAGAGAGGAGGGGAGAGGACAAACCGTGGGCCAGAGCAGACAAACAACCGCATA